TTAGACTATATACAGTGAAAATCATTTATAAATAAATTTTTTTATATATATATAATTCAGAAAGTAAAAAAAGAAGCAGGAACAAACTATACACATATCCTATATTGGATATTAACATCCAATAGTGTAAATCGCGGCAGCAGCTTCAGGTTGGTAGTCCAAGGCATTGTTGTTTATCTTTACTTCCGGGGTTCTTCCCACCTGAGCCTCGCTTTCAATTTCAAAATGGCGGCTGCGTGAAATCAGCGTATAGCCACAAGATGTAAACGATATGTGTGATTACAGGATTTTAGTGTGAAAATCTTTTGAAAAACTTTCTGTAAAGAGCTACATACAATTTTACAACTTTGTTGCCATAACAACATGTAAAAAAAAATATTTAAACCGCTTTACAGCTCAAATAATGCATACGTTTTAAACATGAGCCTGGTGAACTTGTTTGGGCAGGAGCATTGTCTTGTTGAAAAATTACATCTGATCATTCCTCTTCAGATAACAACTTTTCAATTTTGGGAAGCAAGCCATTCTGCAATATTCTGCTGTACTCCAAAGCATTAAATGACTTTTCACGGGGAAGTAGCTCACCAATACCAGCAGCTAAAAAGGCTCCCCACACAATGACACTCTTCCTCCATGCTTCACTGTGGTAGAGATGCATTTATTATTATATTTCTCAGCAGATTTTCGAAGACGCCGCTCTGGATCATCATTTCTTTGTGATTCATCACCCCACACACAACTTCCCTTATTCTGCCAAAAACTTCATTCTGTCTTTGATGTTTTTCTGAGACAGCAATGGCTTTTTAAGTAATGCATTTGATAACATTTTTAGCAAATTTCCTGACCAATAATTTGTGGTTAAGAGACAATTAAAAGCTCTGTGTTTAGGAATGTAGAGGAGTCAACGCTGTAGTTGCCGAAGTCAGAGCCAGTCTGCGGATTTTGGGGAGTCAGAGTTGACCGTTTTCAAAGAAATCCTGTAGTGTATGATGGGAAGAGTCTGTTTGTTTTTTTAGCTTCAGACTATGAATCCATCCAGTTGAAGAATATCAAACATGCTTGATATTTTGGGCCGATTTTAGAACAAGCATTGTTTTCATTTGTCATGCTTTAGTTTATTGTGTTCGGAGTGACTTTAAACAAATTCGGCAATGCTGCACTATAGTGTTTTAAAAATCTGTTCAGATGTTAAGTCATGTACATTCCAACCTTTAATGTAAGTGCTTCTATAAATTTGTAAGCTTCACATTTCTGCTTTTAAATATAGGACACATTTACTTATCACTTGTTTAAAAAACTGCTCTTCTTCACCTTCATTTATAAAGCGCTTTTTAACAGTATAGATTGTTTCAAAGCAGCTTTACAGTTATAATAGAAATTACTGTAACAGATTGTTTAGGCTTTACAACAGCATTAGGATGAAGTAATTTCAGCTAAAGTTAGTTTTGATTGATTCACTTCCGTTGAGAAGATCATTAGTTATTAACTTAGGGGCCGCTTACACGTCACCGTTCTAACAGAAAAACTTAACGCGCTCCGGCCGCCCATCCGCACAAACTTCGAAATTCGAGTTTCAATCTCTCCTTTATCCAAGGTTTTTTTTTTTTTTTTTTTTTACATATGTGTGCAACAGACTACTAGTTTTCACAACTCTTAAACAGGGAAATTGGCCAATATTGAATGTAAGCCATCGAGACTCTGTAAATATGAATGGGAGGGTGCTGGCCTGGTTCAAGGCCACCATGTCTCATTCATGGGCTAAATTGTGTCATCCTGTCAGAGAGATGGTATATACAGAGTCCAAGTTGTAAAAAGCATGTAAAACACACCCCCTGTCTTCATTTTGACAGATGAGGTGTTAGATAAACACTTCAGCCCTTACAATCTATACAAACACCCTTCTAAACACATTTCTTTCTGGAGGATTGACAATGCTTTCCACCCACACAGATTCTGTAGATCCTGCGCCCTCCTCTCTGCCTTTATTCTCTTGTTGGAGGTATGTTGAGTTCTCCAAGTGCAAGTCCTTGAAGGGCAGGAATGCATGTGATGTTTATACCTCACAAGGTCTACTGATGGTATTCAATGTCAATCTTAGATGGCAGAAACAGTTTGCAACAGCTTGTTTAAAACTGGAAAGTGAGTTATTAATTATAGATTATTACACACAAATTATTAAATAATTTTAAAATAATTTAATTCAACATTGCATGTTATATTTGTGCGGAAGGCACTACCACCACAAGGAAATTAACTTGAACTCTGTGTTTGTTTTGGTTCATTATCCCGTTTTATGATTCCTGATGAATGTTGCCTTAGAATATCAACACAAATAGACCAAACAAAGATGTGATTGCCTTTTACGGCACTATAAAGGCATTAGATAAGCCACCAACAATACTACACACGCACTTTCAAAGCATGTATTGTTTGTGTATATAGGCAGACAATTAAAAATTCATGTAAACACCCTCAAACCTCAAACGTCAATATGATCAAGAGAACGTCTCTGTACAAGTTTTAGAAGCCTAATTCGATAGAGAACTGACCTTGACCTATATTTCTTATTGGATTTTTAAAGGCATAAATTGAAAGTACTTGTCACAGTAAAGGATGCAAAGAGATATGATTGGTTTGCATATGATCTCTGAACATCTCTTTGTGTGTTTCTATGGCGAGAGATTTATTTCAAATTATGTGTTGTGTTGCTGTGCTCTAAATGGCATGAAGGGTTTATGGGGAAGAGATTATGTCCTCCTCTGAGAGAGGCTCGTTTTCACAGGACCTGTGGGGGTTTTATTTGCTGAGTGATGATAGCAGTAATTACCTTTCTACCCCTGGGTCACATCTCTTATCCTGACACAGCAAGCCAGTGTGCTGACAAAGTCCCTCTGTAAGTGCATATACCTTTTATGCTTTGACTATGTTAAATGGAAAACCACATACTTATAATACATATTGGTTTGTGACTTACTATTCAGAAGTTTGGTTTCAGATTTTTTTAAAAGAAGAAATTAATTATTTTATCAGCAAATGTATTAAATTGATCAAAAGTGACAGTAAAGACATTGCATGTAATGTTACAAAATATTTCAATTTCAAATAAATGCTTTCTATTCACCAAAGAATCCTGAAAAACAAATTATCACAGTGTCCACAAAAATATTAATCAGCAGCACAACTGTTCTCAACATTGATAATGATAAAAAAAGGTTCTTGAGCACCAAATCAGCATATTGGAATGATGAAGGATAATGTGACACTGAAGACTATGCTGAAGTAAGGATCCTGAAAATTAAGCTTTTTCCAGCACATAAATAAATGACATTTTAAAATATATTCAAATAGAATACAGTTTTTTTTTTAAATTGTAACAATGTTTCACAATTTGTAGTATTATTTATCAAATAAATGCAGCCTTGGTGAGCATGATGAGACCTTTCAAAAACATTTAAAAAGTCTTACCTACCCCAAATTTAAACGGAAAAGTATATAGCTTCAAATCTGAGCCATGTGGATTCAATCAAAATTACACTTAATCACATTATTTAATATAATCACAAATAAGACTTTAAAATAAAACTATTTCAGTATTTATGTTATACATATTATATAAGTTATATACTATTTGTTTTTTTCTAAAATGGTTTAAGCATATTCTGACAATACAGTATTTGTTTCTTCTCAAGCATTTCATTGCAAAAAAAGAGAAATACAATATTTGTCTTTTTCAACTCTGTTACGCTGTTAAAGCACACAGCACTGTTTTGTGAAAGTGGACTTTTTCCCAACATGTGCGGCTGTGTGCAGTTATGTGTAACTTTGTTAACTGTAAGTTAAAAGTTAGCAATAAGCATTTTCTGAAAAAATCAGGAAATATCATATAAAGCAAGCAAGTTTAAGTTGTTTCTCTGATTCCTTACAATGCAACCTCCCATTAGACAGCTTCTACATGACTAAAATTGACTGAAAACAGCCCTTGAGGAGAATACACTAGTTTGCACAGCATATGGTTTGGCTGCAATGTTATTTAAGGTTAAGTGACAAATTGTAAATTGATATATATATATATATATATTATTAGACTCCGTTTAGTGAGAGCAAAAGTAGCTTGCATTTAGTGTTGAAATAATGGTTATTATCTGGCCTGGTAAACACACACTGTTGACTTAAACCAAAAAGGTGAAGTTGTACAATTCAGCTTTAATAGTGAAGCAAAGAATACGCTGCAAAATAAATTAGATATAAAACATGACAAGCACATATTTTGATTTGTTCAACATATCACCATATGTTGCATAATTCTACATAAAACAGATCAAGTTCCTTTAGTGTCTTGTACTTTGAACCTGACAAAGTAGATTGCCATTGCCAGGACATTGTTTCTATCTCTCTCTTTACTGAATATTTCTGTCGAGAACAACGTTCGAAGGCTAGGCTTCAGGTCAGAATCTAAAACCTTTGTTATACATTGGTAGAGACAAACACTGTCGAAACACAGAGTAAAAAGTATTTTAACATTGAGGCTGTTTCAGGAAAAAAAGAGCAAACAAAAAAGTTATTTTATGTGCTATATTGAGTTAATGGTTCTTTATGTTGGCCATACACTGTTGTTCCTAATTTAAATAAATTCACAGAGCTGGGCATTTAGTTGATTTGCTCTGAGAATAGGATGTGTATGGTCTTTGGTTTATTATGTGTAAGTTATATAGTTCTAGACTCTAATATGGCAACTGGAATGCGGCCCATTGCTCTGGGGATCACGTGTTACGAATGTTGGCTTAGTGCAAATTTACATTACTTTTCATCAACATTCAGAATGTTTAGGTGGAAAAATAATATATAATAATAATATAATAAAGTGATTAGTAATAATAATAATAATAATGTAGTTTGGCTCCAGCAACTGGTCAAACTAATTTTTGTTCAAGTATTTCTCATAAGAAGAATGAAATAAAAACAACTACTTCTTTAAATATGAACTAAAAAAAAAAGGTTTTTTTGTGTGTGTGTGTGTGTGTGTGTGTGTGTGTGTGTGTGTGTGTGTGTGTGTGTGTGTGTGTGTGTGTGTGTGTGTGTGTGTGTGTGTGTGTGTGTGTGAGAAAAGGGATGACAATAAAAACAATAAACAAAAGCTAACAAGACAAATAATGATAAAAAAAGAAGAACATCCAGTAATAATACTTGACTTGCATAGAGTTGCATGTTTTTTCAGCTTCTCAGAATATACAATTCCACACTTCAAAATAAGTCTCTTTATTGCAGTGCAGAGAATCAGGGCTGACACTTTTGACCTATGCACCCGTTCCCTCTCAGTCTCTGTCTCTCTTCATTAAAAAAAATATATTATGCTTTATTCTCCTCCTTCATTTTTATGTGAAAGTGCCACGAAGACCGCTCCAATAATTAGTCCTATTAGAATGGTCTGCAAACAAATAGATTGCCCGAGTTGGCAGCTCAGAAGTTTGTGGGTGAACACAGATCGCCAATCCTCTGATATGTGCTTTGTACCAACATTTGAGTGTTTGTTGGGAGTTCATGGCATTTTATGAGCAGCCACACTCCTCCACTATCATGTTCTGGATGTCTTTCTTAATGATCTTCTGCTCCTCGTTGTAGTAGAGCATGGACATGGCCCGTAGGCGCGTAGGCACGCAGCACGACTTGATGTTGGTAAAGGGGCTGTACCCGCGCATCCGATAGTGATTGATGACGGTGGAATGGAAGGAGAGGGCAGAGCCTGTGATGCTGGCCACATGGCTGGGACAGTCCCCCTCGCAGTAGTTAGCGTGATATCCAGACGGAGCGATGATCCAGTCGCTCCACCCGATGTCCTTAAAGTTGACGTAGAACTGCCGTTTACAGCAGATGCGGATTTTGCCGTCGCACTCCAAGCCGCGCTTGCTGCGCCGGTGCTGGTGCTCCTCGGCTGGCTTGAGCACGACCATGAGGAAGGGTCGGTGAGATTGTTCTCTCTCCTTGCCCTTGTTCCCCTCTGCAGGCACCAGGATGGGCACGGCACCAGCTTCGGCACACAATGGACAGGAGACACGGAGACTGAGCAAACTGCTGTCCCCGTCCAGCAGAGTCTGGACCATGCGGGGCACGGGTAGCGTGTGCCAGCCGCTGCGTCGTGTGTCCACAGTCTTCTCGGAAACCACCAGTTCCTGGGGTCCGTTGGTAGAGCCTGGATCGACTTTGCCATGCTGCAGGAGCTGAAGGGACACCTTCGCCTTCCCTCTGCTGCCTTTGGCAACCTTAAGAAACAGCCACACATTGGCCTGCTCCACCACGGACAGAGTGTTGCCCTCCTTAGAAATGTCAAATATCATGATGTCAGAGGCATCTCCTGTGAATGAAAGGCATGAGGCAATTGGTTAGTTTTGTATACATGGTTTATTATGCTGTAAAACTTGATCAGTTTATTAATGACACTCTCTGTTTGAGCCACCAGATGAGATACTGCTTAACAGAATCAGAGTACATAATGCCTGCTGTACTAAATTGTTTCTGTCTTTCTGTGAGAAAGGATATGTAATCTCCACCATCTGCAGTCCTTCGTCAACACCTAGACTCGGTCCATTTAAAACATTTCCTGCTCCTAAAATCCTGGCACTCCATTTGTGTACATAAAGCATGTATGTTATGACAAGGGCCTTCCCTATAACGTGCACATGACTGTCTGCTAAATGCCAGCTCAGCATCAGTAACCACTGCTGATTTACAGACTCAAGATTACAGACTCTCTTAAATGACTCTCTGCCAACCCCTCCTCAACAGGACAGCTATTAATTCAACTGTTTAGTCAACATGTCCACATTCAAAAAATCCTGTGATCTGATATAAAGGATCGTTAGCGTAGCTTCGAAAACACCTTTTCTAGAACTCAATCTTTTATAATGCTTGTCAATGTGACACTGAGATATCTATCTAGACCAATACAGTGGCAGGTTTACCATTACTCTGTCATCTCACATGACACTATATAATAGTGAGCTATGAAACTAAAGAAGGGTCAATTCAGTCATTTCACATAAGTCTAGACCATTTTTTTATTGTTTGTCTATGTATACATGTGCTAGACTGAAGTCTTTGACCATTGTGATGAGTCTCGCTGTTTTTTTCTCCAGCATCTCGCGCCATGAGCTCTGTGTTTTTAATTCGCCTTTTCAACACCTTTCATCTAGCTGCTTTTGAACACGAGAGCAGGCCCTTATTCATTTGTGCTGTGATTGCCATGCTATTAAGAAAATCTGCCTGGATGAATGACTATTTAAAGCTCATGAAAGCTCTCTGAGTAACTTTACTGGACTGTCTGTTCTCTTCATTGTATCTCACATTGTCAGAAAACTCCCACGAAACACTGAATGGACTTAACACATAACAGGAAGAACTATTTTTAAAGCTTGAAGTGTGTAGTTTGGATGGGTAAATACTTTGTCCTATTCCAATTTGATATGCAGATACAACCATAACCGTTGATTCATCCCCTCAAATATAAACACTGAGGCTCTGTGGCGCTTTCAAAAGATCTTTGTCGACTCAACCAATGGCATGAGTTTAGGGCGAGTTGTTGGGAACAAATGGTGTTTCACCTTTAAACTGAAATGAAAGCCAATATTCCCTTACTCTGGATTAAGTTGTCAAACAGATCAGTGAACAATGCAGTGCCACCATACAAATGTGAATCTGTTTGAAGTTTCCGTTATGCTCCCATTTAACCGGTTACTTTATCAGTTGGAACACCTTTTTAATTCTGCTTTGAGAGTTGTTGGAAATTCTGGCAAGTAATGAAAAATCTAGAATACAGCTCATTAATTGCAGGTTAATGGGAATGAACAATGTTTTCCCATAAACATTGTAGAAATACTGCAGATGTTTTCTGAGAAAGAAACAGCACAGGACTCGTTTTTATTTGCAGATGAATGTGTCTCTCTCGCTCTTTCTCTCTCTGCGTGTCGTTATCCAGCCTGATCTCTTATCAGAACACCTCTTAACTCGAACAAGAGCCGCAGTGTGTGACCAAGTATAAAGAGTTGGCCTCCCTTTCCATATTAAAAGGCAACTGCTCTTTTGCCACTGTCATTTGTTTCCTGAGCCAGTCTTTCACTGTAGTTGTGTTGTCTTTCTTGTAGGTTTAAAAAAACGCCACGTGTCTCTGGGGTGACAGGGTCTGGGTGAGGAGGACAATTCAGAAGCATGTCAGTGGTACTGCAGATTTGGGGCAAAGGTCAACTGTGCCCTCTGTCACGTAACTCACACTGATTTATTCCTCTTATTTGGACACTTATCATATTGTCTCTATTCTTTATCTGTTTTATATGTTGAAAGTTTGCTATAGTTGTGTCTGTGCACTAAAATATCAAGGACAAGATTGTTTTGAAAATATCAGAGTTGCATTTAAATCATTTGGGTATAATCTGCTTTTGGCTCAATTAGCGTAGTTGAGCATGTAGAGTATCAAAGAAAAGATTGTTTACTTAGTTACATTCATGCAGTGGGTCTTTAAATAAATTAAACACTGCCAAAAGACTTGAGATCTCTCAGTAAACACTTTCTGATAATATCTGGACTAAAAAAGCCGCCTTTTACTTTTGCTTTACTTTTTCTTTTGCCTTTATCAACACTAAACCAGATACCTGTTAATACCTAAATTATTAAACTGAAAGCATCAGACACTACAGATGAAAAACAGAGTCACCTACTTCCTGTCAAACTGAAGCAGTTTAAAAATATAGAATTAGATATTGCATTGAGTTTGACATTTGTGTGAAGGATGAAAATAGAATCATATAAAATGATAGAGAAAAAATAAAGAAATAAGAGACTGTTTAGATGAATGCACATATGTCCTGCTACAAACAGACCAAACTTTCACAAATTATTTTGTTTTCTTTTCTTAAAAAAACTATTTAAAACTAAGTATTTTAAATAGTAAATTATTCCTCGGTTTTCAGCATCATTGATGCGCATCGAGTCACATGATCGTTCCGAAATCACTCTAATATGCTGATTTGAAGAAACATCTTTTATTATTATCAATGTCGAAAACAGTTGTGCTGCTTAATATTTTAGTGGAAACCATAATATATTTTTCAGAATTTCTTTGATGAATAGACGGTTTAAAAGGACAGCGTCAGACTATTCAAAATTGATGTCAGTCAGATCATTGAATTACTTTAGAAATAGACTCAAAGTCAATTGCTTTTGTGTTAGATAAAAAACAGCATCCACCCAAAACTGGTGTTAACAAGAAGCCTCTCTGTAGTTGGATATATTGTTGTACCAGAATATCACAGTCCCTGATCACTACAACAATCACCTGATGACCGCAGCACAAAACATATTCTTCACATAACCAAGTGTTATCTTGCATTTACCAATAATACAGTCTTGCACTGCTTTGTCCTGTAAAACACACAAAGATATCACCTATCTGTCCTCTAATAATGAAGCCTCAGGTATGAATTATCAGGAGACAGGGTTGACACAGGGGTCAGAACAGGAAATAAATAGTTAAGAAACATCCCTCAGAGTAAACCTCAAGAAACTTTAAGACCTGCTGAAATGCACTGTCAACTACTAAGCAGTTTCAGGAAGCTGCTCAGAGAGAGGCAACAAGCCAAGCTAACCACACCAGATCAGCAAAACTTTCCGAGATCCAGATCATCCATATGTGTGAAGAACACAATTATTAACGTGAATTCCTTCAGTGTGTCAGTCTTGCTCTTATACCTTCAGACCTTTGTGAGTGAATCACAACTGCTATAACCATTGATCCTTTTCAGAATACCTGGCACTGAAATGTCAGTAAAGGGATAGTTCACCCAAAAAACACCATTTAAGGCCTGTTCACAACAAGGACGATAACTATAAAGATATCTTATTTTGTGTACCACAAAGAAAATAATGTCATACAAGTTTGGAACAACATGAGGGTGAGTAAATGACTGAATTTTCATTTTTGGTTAAACTTTATAATGTTTTTTTTTCTTGCATTTCAAACTTTTGATGAGTCCCTGTTTCTCAGACTCATCCAATCTCTCCGTTTCATGAAGATACTTTCAAAGAGACCCCGACCATTCCACACACCAACAGAGCAGCCCAGAGTAATTACTGGGCCCCATATTTTGATGAATGGAGCAATTATGGCCAGCTAACAGCCCTGTGGGTTTTGTATTGGATCGAACCACCCCATTCCTCTCCCCCACTCCCCGGAGCATCATTAACACCCCTGCAATCTCATTAAGGCTCTAAGGGGCCTTTTTTAATCTTAGGTTCATTCAAAAGGTCTATTTATAGCATCAAGGCATTATGCACGTTTATGTAAGCAAATGGGCGCAATAGACAGTGCCGTCAAATGTTTGCTGGCTCCTTGCCCTAAATGATGATAGCTGCAATTAAAGAGCTGCGGACATCGTCCCATTAAGCCTGTGCAGGACTGTTGGTGGTCAATCTGTATATAAGAATCAGATGGGACCGCCAATCCACATCATGGCTGGTGCTGGTCTAAAGATAGGTCAGCCTTGTTATCTTTAGAAACACTGCTATATTGTTTTTGCAATAAAACAAAACCCTGATGCCATGAGATTGGGCCGCTTAAACCACCCGCTTCCGTACCCCATTCAGACAAATGTTGTTAGCTTTTTTTTACAGCAGCTTCATGCTGATTTGTGGATCAGTGACATTGTTATAAATAAGTCATGAGGAACCAATTAAAAATGGAATGTAATTGTGGATCTTCCCATCCCAGACTTAGTCTATTGAACCAACTAGGACGTAGTGTTTGTTAAATACGGCTCCAAAAGCGTATTTAATAAGGAAGAGCATTGTTTGTGCCATTTTTGTTTTGTGTTTCCCAAACACTCGTAAAAAATGAATGGCTGTCTATTGGCTACTCTATCATTAGACGAACGACACAACATGAATAGCATATCATCAGGTCAGCAGACACATATTTTAGAGACAAAAAGCTCAACATTAGATTTAATATGAGCTGCATGACATTTACAATGAGTGATACTGTGTGAAAAAGACCTCCACATGAGTGTGAAAGGCACAGTTCACCAATAATGAAAATTCTGCTCTCATGTCATTCTAACACAAAAAGACTTTTGAAGAACATTTGGGATCCAAACAACACTGGACCTCGGTAACATTCTTCAAAATATTTTTTGTCCTGTGCAGACAACAAAGTCATACAGGTTTAGAACAACATTAGGGTGAGCAAATGATGACAGAATTTACATTTTCGGTAGACTATCCCTTTAAGTAGACTTTAAGTGAATACTTGACATAGTTTGGATGCATAGCAAGATAAAGCGTTAATTCTGATACTAAATCGCTGTCTCTTCTGTGTCCTTTTGCTTGACAGAACTGAAGATGTTTAAGTGGCTACATTGAATAGCTGTTAATAGGGGCATCATTTCCTCATTTCATTTCAGTAGCACGGCACAGAGAGCGCACAGTCAGAGTGTGAATACTCCACAGCTGCAGCGCATGTGTTCCCCTTAAGATGACTCTCACTCCTGCAGATCTCTGCTAACACCTACCTGAGTGCTTTTTAAAAGCACTCCTTTAAAACAGTAGTCTGAATGGAGCCATTTGTGGTGACATCCACTCTACATCATATAATACTGTAATCTTAAAAATGGAAACCCGCAAATGGACAGTCTTGAGTGTGAATTATGTGAAACTTGAACAATTCAAAACTGAAAATTACCAAAAAAATCATACTTTTTATCCATTTCACCTCATAATGGAGGCGTGGATTTAGATAAAACAGTCCGACTTTATAATAACACTCATTAATGCAATATTAAACATTATATAATGCTTAACAGATCAATTTGAATTCAATTATATTCAATGTTTGGGTTATACCTTACAACAGGTTCAGTTTCGAACTAGTAAATGCATTAGGTATCACGAAAAAAAGCATTTCTTATGCTCTCCAAGGCTGCATTTATTTGATCAAAAATAAAGTAAAAACAGTAATATTGTGAAATATTATTACAAATTAAATATGTTTAAAAAAATTCATTCATTCTGTGATGGCAAAGCTGTATTTTCAGCATAATTACTCCAGTCTTATCAGTCACATGATCCTTCAGAAATCATTCTAATATCCTGATTGGATGCATAAGAAACATTTCGTATTATTATCAATGTTGAAAACAGTTGTGCTGCTTAATATTTTAGTGGAAACCATGATCCATTTTTCAGAATTAAAAAATAAAGAGTAGGCTAAATCCTGCACATGATTTACTAATTCGTTCCCTCGAATTTACTATTTTGTTCCCTTGATTTGCTATATCGTGTGCATGATTTATAAATCGAGGGAACAAATTAGTAAATTGTGCACACAATTTACTTTTTCTTGCATGTCATGTGTGGGGCTCTGTAGAAAACAGTTGTGCTGCTTAATATTCTTGTGTAAATGGTGATGGTTCAGGATTCTTTGGTGAATAGAAAGATCAATGAATAGCTTTTTTTTACATTTATAAAATGTATTCAAGCATTTATTAAATTTAAATCTTTTCTAACATTATAAACGGTTTCACTGTCACGTGGTATTATCAATATGCATCCTTGATGAAAAAAAGTCTTTAAAAAAAAAATCTTATTAGAAATGTTTCAATGGTATCATTGTTTCCACAAAAATGTTAAGCAGCAAAAACTCTTTTGAAAATTGATAGTTATAATAAGAAATGTTTCTTGAGCAGCAAATCAGCATATTAGAATGATTTCTGGATCATGTGACTCTGAAGACTGGAGTAATGATGCTGAAAATTCAGCTTTACCATCACAGGAATAAATTACAGTGTAAAATGTATTAAAATTGAAAACAATTATTTTAATTTGTAATAATACTTCACAATATTACTGTTTTTACTGTATTTTGATCAAATAAATGGTGAGCATAAGAGACTTCCTTCAAAAACATTAAAAATGTTAATGTTTCTAAACTTTTGACAGGTATATATTAATTAAATTTGTGTTCCCAAGGTTTTAAATCACAGCAATTCATTGCATGTCACAGTTTCTCCACTGTCTAGCCCAACAGGTGAGAGTTAATCACTTAGCACCACATTAACATGTCATCACATATCCTCACAAGGCACTGAAGCATCCCTCACCTGGCTCCGCAAAGGTGATGATCTCAAAGGGCTGCTCCTCAGGTTGCTCTCGTTCCCCCAACCCTCCTCCGTCTTCCTCTATCTCCACCGTGCCATCCTCACCCACCCGTCCCACGTGTAGCTTGCGGATGGCGTTGAGCAAGGCGGCGCGGGGCACCGGGTGTGTGACATTGGGCCGGGTGTTCAGATGCAGCATGTTGAGGATGTGCCTCTTGACCGCCTCCACCATGTCGGTCTGCTCCTCCGGGTCCTTCTGCCTCTGGGCTAGAGCGCAGGACGGGCAGGGGGTCACGGGATCATCTTGCTGCCCCGCACCTTGAGAGCCGCTCTCGGCCGGCGTGGGCGAGCAGCCCCCTGACAAACAGCCGGAGAGCAGCAGCACCCCAGTCACGAGCGTGAGAGAGGACATCCTGAGTGACGGCAGACACGCAGCTCGGTCCTGTTCTGCTCCGCTGCCAAGATCAGTCACTGGGCTGGCTTGTTTGTCAAATCGATACGGAAAGTGGGAGCCAGTCCAAAATAATCCTTATCTGAATGGAGCGGTCATGGTGATTAAAAGTTGAAGAGGGCTGAAGGAAGCGCTGCTGGTGCTCTCTCTGGGCTCGTCCTGCAGGTTGATGAGCTCCGGGTCGGTGTCCGTGCAGCTGAGCTCTGGAGAAACCTGACGATGCACTGCTGCCCGTGCCGGAGTTGAATGGTTGAGTGGAAAGTGGGCAGGGTTAGACAGTTCTCTGACTCTTTCTTCAGCACTCTCTCCCTCTCTGGCTTCTCAGTGTTTGTCCCCTCTCTCTTTCTCTCTCTGTAATTATACCTTCCTCCTCTTCATCCCTCCCTCTCACTTTATTACAATCTTTCTCACTACTGACTCACTGACTTTTTCATCTCCCTCCCTCCCTCTCGTTCACTCTCTTCAGTGACTCCTCCAGTAACATGTACCATTTTTTTTTTTCCTCCGGAGAATCTAAGTTGCTCTCTCTCTCTTTTTTCCACCAATCATTCATCTCTCCAGCCATCAATCCGTCGGCACCTGTTGTGCAGGCTGGCTAACTGTGTGGAATAATGTCATGAGGAGGGAAAAGTCGAGGGTTCAACGTGATTATCATGGCTATCTGTGTGCATAACATACGTGTAAACACACCGAGCGACTCATTCATGCTCAGTTAGGCGCACACACAGCATACGGACTCACTTTTCATAGAAAAAGACATGGGAAGGTAATGAGGCTCTTCTTCTACATCAATTGAGCATTGAAAATGGCAAAACTGTTATATTTAATAAATCATTCAGTCAGGACTAACATTTATAAGAATTAAGAATTTCTATAAACACATTGCTGCCAATGTAAATAAACCTAGAATCCTACATCAATCTTTTTTTATTTTATTAAAATCTTATTATTATTTATACTATTATTATTTTATTATTCTATAACATCATAGTGATGCATGGCAGTGACATCACTCGACTCCCTCTTGTGGTTGTAACACGTGCATTCTCTATCATTTAAAATGATCTTAAGCAGTTATCCCACAATACAGTAAACTAGGCAACAAAAAACCCCCAGAACAATTAAGAGAAAAAACCCAGAAGGTGATTTAGCACAGGAATGTTCATGACTGCAGAACAGACATACCGCAGCGTTTCTCCAGATGTTTGTGGAGTTCAGACCTCGCGCCTCCAGAGACCAATGAGGGCTGTTAGTCGACCACGATGTGTGTATGTCAGACAGATGCACGCTGGTCCATACATGTGTCTGCTTGAGCTGGAGCGCATCTCACCTTTCATTCCTTGGCTCCTACATGTGAACAAACATTACTCAGAGAACAACTCTCTCCCTCCTGAGCTTCACTTTTAAAAAAACTCAATCATGATGGCTGTAGGTGAAAGTCAAAGTCAGGTGAGCAATGGCAACCTTATGAACCACACATACACTATCATTCAAAGTTTGCAGTTGGTAAAAATGTCTAAAATGTTTTTGAAAGAAGTATCTTATGCTCACCGATTTATTTGATCAAAAATACAATAAAAACAGTGATATTGTGAAATCTGTCTCTCATTACTCTCACAAAGGAAGATATTTTAAAGAATGTGTGTAACCAAACAGTTTTCCCATACTATGAAAGTCAATCGTGCCCCACCACAACTGTTTTGTTATACTGACATTCTTCAAAATATCTTCCTTTGTGTTCAGCAGAAAAAAAGAAATTCACACAGGTTTGGAACAAATTGAGGGTGTGAGTAAATGATGACATAATTTTCATTTTTGGGTGAACTATCCCTTTAAAGAGAGAGTTCAACCAAAAACCAAATATCTATTCCTGGTCTTGTTAACACTTAGAAAGGAACACAACACTCCAACAGATCCTTCTCAACTCTTAAACACTTATTCTTAGCATTGCCACATGTTCGCCTGGGCAGCGTGTGTGGTGAGTTTGCTATTTCTGAAGGTTCCCATAAGGTGGTGTCATCACACATCCTACTGCCTGCCATGCCTCCTCTCTCTATAGATGACACATAGAGGGACTCTGGGAATGAGTAAGACAGGCTTCATCATCTGTGCATTCTCACGTGTTTCTACTTCTATATCATTTTACAAATGCGTATATCATTCCTTCGATAACTTTAATCAAACCCAGAGGCCTTTTTTGTTCTTTCCTCATCTGGAATTCATAAGACAAATATGACAACTATTCTCCGAAAGTTGTTAAAAATGGCTCTTTGCTGTAGTATTCATGCTCGTGTTATGGTATGGTGTCATAACTATGAGTCTGATGATGTAAGAGGATGTAAGGAGTTGGTGTGTGTGTGAGTTTTGGCAGGATAGTCCTCACCCACTACTACACTTCTGTATTAGTCAGGCCTCGCTGAGTGACGCTGTGGTACTGATGGTAGGCGGGATCCCTCGCTCTTTCTCTTCATCACTCTACCTGCTTCACCAGACGCTGATCATCACCAATGAATCACCTGCAGTCATGTTTGCAACTTTCACTGCCAACTGCCTCTGCATCTCCTGAAGCAATCACGTTTTTACATGTGTCCGTGAGAGATTCTCTGTCAGAAAGAGTAACAGTTAGTTTTCCTCAAACTTCCTAAAGTCCTTGTAAACTAGCTGCGCAATGCAAACAGCCAGTCATTTTAGAGATTATACTAGATAGTCGTATAACACGTGTATACTAAAGGTTTCGGTTTAATAAGTTGTTTGTTTTTGAAAGAAATTAATACTTTTACTCAGCAAGGATGCATAAAATTGATCAAAAATGACAGTAAAGACATTTAGTGTCACTAAAGATTCCCATTTCAAATAAATGCTGTTCCACGGTTTCCACAAAAATGTCCAACAGTCCAAAATTGATAATTATATTAAATGTTTCTTGAGCACCATATTAGAATGATTTCTCAAGGATCATGTGACACTGAAGACTGGAGTATGAAAAAAGGCTTCTTTCCAAAAACTTTTAAAAGGTATTGTAGATAGAAAAATAACTTTGTCTCAGAAAAGTATACTTATCTATACCTACCTTATAAACATAATGCCTATACAAACAGTGTGGTGTCATGTAGCCTACATGGTAAAGGTAATGGTTAAAACAAAAAACAAAAAAAACACACCTCGATTAGAAGATATTTTGAAGAATGTTTCAAATGTTTTTGTCGATACAATATAAGTCAATGAGGTCCAAACGCAACATTGGACCCCATTGACTTTCGTTGTATCGACAAAAACATTCTTCTTTATATTGTGTTCCACAGAAGAAGAAACATTTTTTAGAACGACATTAGGGCGAGTAAATGACGGCAGAATTTTTATTTTGGGTGATCTATCCCCTTTGTGTAATTTCTGTGGCACATTACAGAATTGCAAAAATAATGACTTCAAACACTTCTGATTATATTTTTAAAAACAATACTGGTGCAGAAATTACACATTTCACTTTCAAGGAGGATGATTTGACCTGACCAGGAAATGGTACAGGCGAGGTCTGCTAAATTGAACACACAGAATGTTCAATTGTCCAGGTAAGATCATTGCAAACAGTATAATATCATCCAGCTCACCCCTCACATACATATAGACAAGGACAAATGTCTCAAATGGTGACATAAAAGGTCCTTCGACTTTGTAAAGCTCTTCCAGTATGATTTTGACTCCAGCAGTTCCCACTTTCCCGAGGCGAGATGCTAATCTATGCAGGTGATGTCACAGTGTGGGGAAGACTTTCATTTAGTGCTGAATCAGAGGAGACAGCGAGGGAAGCCTCATGTTTGCTTGGTCTAAATGTGGACATCCTCCCCGGCAGGCGAGCGGCTGATTCATACTGATGTTTAAACGGAGCGCTCCAGTTAGTTACGCCATTGGAAGTGGGCTGTGGTGTATTTTTGAACGCTTATCACGAACACTCATCACGAACGCTCGTGTGAATACAAATTTGAAACCCATGCTTTCTTTGAAAACATTACCAGATTCCCATGAGGGTGCTGTAATTGTTGAGAAAAACAATAATCCATATTTGCTTCCAGCAACAGTTCAAAACAAAGAGTGGAATTTCTCCTCGTTAAAATCTCCAGACAAACAAAATGACGAGAGTGCCATCGGCCCCTAAAAGGAAATGTGTAGGAGCCAAATTACTCCTTTTTTTCAAACTTCAGTTGACAAATTACAGAATCGTTCGAAAAAAATGGTGGTTCAGAAGCACTTTAGCTCATTAGGTCACTGGATACATAAACGACAGAAACTAGAAAGCTTTTTAATTGTTTTTAGTATAAATTTGTTCTAATTTGATTCTGTCACTCTTGTGATTCTGACTGTATTTGTTATGTAAATCAGTGTTTTTGTAGTATTATTTATATACTAGTATAGTGTTTCTTTATTATTTATATTTATTTTTGAAGTTGTAAATAAAAGATTATTTTTTTAATGTAAATTATAATAAAAAAAGTTTCATCTGGTTATCACAAACAACCAGTTGATAAAACAGCCATCATCACTGCAACAATTTCCAGTTCATTTCAGATCCACATAACTAAAAAAATACCTTCAGTGAGGAAGTCAGTTGTGAACTCATGAACGAGTCAAACGTTAACTAATGAGTGAGGGCTGTTTTTGTGAATCTTTTTGGCTGAGTCAACAAAAATAACCTTTTCATAAGAGCTATTTTCAAAGCTTACCTACTCATCAGTGCAAACTTGATTTGTTTTATTTTTGTTGCTGTCTGAAGCCGTGGATCTGTGCATCTCCCAGCAATTTGAAGTCCATGTCTCAAACAAAACAAGTCATTTCATGCCACGCATAGAGTTATCAAGAACTAAACAAAAATAATTGATAGTTTATGTAGATTTATTCAGGTTATTGAATATGTTCAAAACCTTTTTCACAAAACAAAATACACATTTAGATGTAGTATCAAGCAATACCTGCTGAAGTCACAAAAGGTTTAAACCCTCAAAGCTTGTTTCGTGATTTGGATTTGTACTGTAGAATAAACAGTGAATCTCAAAATCACACACCTTTATAAGCTCATCATCAACATAATGAACTACTTACTGCTTCTGCATTTGTGTATGTTTGCATCCTATTTCATTACAAATGCGACTTATGCGACTATTCCGAATTGAGCTACAGTTTAATCAATCTGTACCATAGAGAGCAGCTGCCCGGGGCCATAAATGATCCAAATAAACTTCAACAGAAGAAAAGATATCAAAAATGACTGATCTGTCATTCAATTACAGGATGTGATCATAAACTGCATAAAATCACATGGAAACCAAAGCCTGACACCCATGTCAGTGCAAATCTGTGAGAGAAAAGAGTATGTTAGTTAACACGAGTGACTTTGTGCTATGTTTACAACATTCATAATCGTATATTTCAGTCTTTTAGACAGCCAGTAAGCAAGCAGCACTGCAAAAAGAACTTTCAGAAAGCTAACGAAATTGAGGAAGATTTGAACTGGAATCCTAATGTATAGAAAGAAACACAACCTGTGCATGTCAGGTGATGCAACATGTTTCCTGTTAAACGTCAAGATATATATGTATATATAT